CGATGAGACCATTATGAAACGATCATTCCAAAATAAATCCATTTCAAAATACTGAAATACTTTACGGAAGCAACAAAAATGTGCTAGATGCTTACATAACATTTTTCAAATGCATACTGCTTCAAGGGAAAAGTCTTGAAAATATTTTGAAAAAAAAAGTGCTATGGCGGCAGTGCCCAGCTTGCGCGTCGCCGTCAAGCCTAAATTCAATAGACGCGAAGGCTCATTCCAAATGAATTGTTGCAAAAAATGCAATTGATAGTTCAGTATAAGTATTGACTTCAAATTCAGCTAACATATATATATATAGTGATACTTACCTACATGAATTACCCGCCATCTTCTTTCAGCCGCCGTCTTCTTTCAGGGTCCAGCAGCACAGAGCACCCCGGCTGTTTCCGTCAAAATTTTATGCTACTCTAAATCATTCTTATTTTAGTTTCATTTTTATTTTCAACTACATATATCAGTATTTTTAATAGTTATCAACAGTATTAAACGGGAAGTAAATTTTCGAAAAAAGAAAAATAGAAAGATATACAAATGTATATGACTCCCACAATGCATCGCGCGGAAAAGAAAGTTAAGCCGCCATATTGGCATCGCCTCGCAAAATTTACCACCATAAACGTGAGTCTTTGTCATTGTATTTACAAATTTCGATGTCTGATTATCATTAATACACAACACAAAACATTTTCTTGATGTACAGGTAATGAAGAAAATGTCGATAAGGTTGTTTCATTTAATGACTAGCATCAGCAACTTGTAGGGGCGATAATCCAATGATTACGGTAATGTCCGGCAGATGGAGTAGGAGTAAACTTTCGATTTATGAACCAATGAAAACGAAGTACTGATACTCAGCCTCAGGGGCGATAGCAACATGCTGAAGAGCATTGAAAATGCTCTTAGCATAAAAATAACACAGAAATTAATGTAAGTGCATTGATTTTTCTGGAATACACTGAATTTGGATTTCTTTATACAATCTGCTGTTTACAAGATATTTCCAATGCCCCCTACTCAATAGACAAAATATACCCTGTATTGGCATTCATGGTGGCGTGGTGAAGCGGTGTCCGCCCATTCTTGTCTTTCCGCATCAACTTAGCGCCATTCAGTAGTAGAAATTCACAGGCAGCCAGAGATCCCTGGACAAGAGTTTATACAATCAAAGCCAATGAGGTTTATACAATCAAAGCCAATGAGGAGATTCTGAAACATTGTCATCTATTGTTTCACACTTGCACAGCTATGAGACAACATTACATGTAGTGAGAATGGTAATCTTAAAAACATCATATAGATTTTTATACCCATACTAACAAGGCTTAGTGAAATGATCTCCTAGCTACAATCAGTCTATACTATCTCTCACTTTAAATTTATATACTGTAAAATCAATTATTTTTGTGGGATTTATTTTTTCATTGATTTCATTGGTTTTGTTTATCCGTTATTCATTGACTTTAGTTAGTACTGGTGGATTTCATGAGAAATAATTACCCACAAAATTAAGTGTCAACCAAACTTAAATTATGTGAATAACTATGAAATTAAAGCCCCACAAAAATATCTGACAGTACTATTTATAGATACCAATGATCAAAGAACTACGGTCTTCCGGTCCATATGGCTATAAAAACCAGAGGATTTTAGCTAACATTACATATGGATATTTTAATTACTTACAGTTTCCACTACTTTCATTAGTGGGGTTTTTCTGTCCTCTTCCTCGTGTACCCAGTTAGGGTCAGCACCGTTAGCGAGAGCCTCCAACATGACAGCAAGGTTACGAGCCTGGGCTGCTTTATACAGCAGCATGTTGGGGTCCAGCTTACTCATATCTTCCCAAGATGTCGTAGACTTGGAATCATCACCATCATCTTCGACCTCCGATCCCTCAGAACTCTCCAGATCCAAACCTAAGTCACAGAAATGTGGATAAGGATGAACTAATTGTATACAGTGCTGATAAAAGATTGAAAACTAATGACCACTAATCATTTCACGCAAATTTCACATCCACTACTTCATATACTACCAGGAAAATTCAGTTAATAAACTTTTGGTTTTTTTTTGTAAATCTCCAAAACGTTAAACTTAAAAGCATACGTAGCTTTACAACATATCACAACATCGACATCTCAAACACAGAAAGATACATAATAATGTAGTTGACTAGTTTTATAACTTACTAGTACTTAGATCTGGAACCTCGAGCTCGGAGTCTCCAAAAACGATAACATCGGAGGCACTAGCGCCCAGTCCACTGTCACAGTCTTTAGAGGTGTTGGATACAGATAAAACCGCTACAACAATAAAATCTACAGTTAGAATAGGAAATCATGGGTCTAAATATAGATCACGCTGAATAAAATTTAACATCACATGATCTATATTTAGACATTGTATTTCCTAGTAGTTGATAGTTAATGATATTTTATGATGTAATACATTTCTTTAAGAGCGGGGTGTTTTAAGTCAGTACGAAAACTAACATCGTAAATTGACAGTGATATCTGTACATATACGAATATTTATGTAACTATACCATTCAATGGTTTTAAACGTAAATATTCCAGCACATAGTTTATCTATGTATTGTTCCACTAATGTGTATGGGGTTAAACTTCATGCAACAATCAAAAGAAGTGAAAAGAATATAAACCAATATAACAGTAACTTAGCCTGACTTACAGGTTGTAACGCAAATACAGCAATCAAATTATTATCTAATATCAATAACTTGATTCAGACCTAGCCTTGTATTTACTTCAGACCTAGCCTTGTATTTACTTATCAGCAGTAATGGAATCTATACATTATAAGGGTTATTGATGATATTTTGCATATCTTTAGTCCCAGTGAAATATCATTTATCAAGAGAACAATAAAACTATTTTATAAACTGGAGCATTATTTACCAAAACTTCCATCAGATTAAGAAACTTCTCTAGATTATTGACCAGGTATACTTAATTAAGCTTACTGACTAGGTATACTTAATTATCTAATTCTACAAGCGTGGTAACCATAGGCTGCAGTGCTCAACAATCTGTTGAATTTGTGCCTGGCCTGGAACATCATCATGTGTTCAATTTGTGCTGAAAAATCTATCTAGTGTTGTAACACCATAAACTCGACATACAAACTATTTTGAGCAGTGCCCAGTAGAAATTATCAAAAAAAAAAATCATAATTTATCTGTAATTAATATAAAATATCTAATACATTTATAAAATCAAAATATCTGTATCTACCAGTAATGAATAATCAAATACGAAACAGTATACATCAATCTCTACCCCCAAAAACTTCAAATTAGTGATACAAATTATATGTTAATAAATGATAAATTAGATGCTTTCAATCTTGTTTCTTAAGTAATTTGTCCGAAGCTAACTCTGGGTGGATCTATGTTTCTGCATAAATGTTCTGTAATACATACATTTCCAAATAAACTGAATGCGTACATCAAGCTGATAGTTTGGAGAGGACGGTTATTATCAAGCAACAGGTAGTTTTGACTACACTAAACCTGTTACCTGGTCTGCTTACTGTTAAATATATCTTACTATCAACGAAAAAAAAAAATGCAAAAATCTTACAAAAACACATTTCTCTGAATTCATTAAACATTTGTACAGTAATTTGTTAGTATGACTGTGATGTGCATTATTAGTTTAAGTGAAGATCAATATGTATATATTTATGTGTCCATTGTTTAGGAGATCTTTCAATAGATAGACAAATGAAACTTGATGAAACACAAAATACATACATCTACAAACTTCATGTGAAAAATGGTCAAGTAAAAAGTTTGGCATCCATCAACACAGGTCATCTTTACTAAATAGGCATTAGCATATTTGAGACAGAAGAGAGGGAAGAAAGGGGAGGTAACTCAGCCAGTAAATGATGGAAGATGAGTTTTGTCAGAAATGATTGCCCAGCATATGAATGGGGAGACTGCTCAGTCAATAATTGTTGAAAAGAGAAATCACTCAGTCACTGATTGACAGCAGAAAGGGAACATTACTCAGTAAATGATTGTAGAGAAGCAAGTGACTGAAGGAAGGGGAGATCACTCTGCTACTGAGTGAAGAACAAGAAGGCCATCTACAATATGATTTACATCTACATGTATATAATCATTGCTTTAGAGTTGAATGACAGAAAATGAATTTATGAAAATGGTCATCAAATTATAAACAAAGAGATGAATATAGATAAATTAACATTCTACCAATGATATTTCAGATCATGAGTTCCTCTAAATCATAGACACAACTTTCCTCATTTAATGTTATGATGATTTTGGTTTCAATCTGTGTATTTTTTTGTGGTAATTCATGATTTAAAAATTAACAGTATCAAGTCTGATAAGTACTGAATCCTTTAACTCACAAGGAGATTCATAAAACAGTGGCACATAGAGTATGTAGGGATGGACAATGCAGGAAACAAGCCGTGCTTCATCTGGATTGTGAATGTATATCTCAAGGAAGTCAGGATTTGTATATTTTTTCTTGTTTTTTTTTATATTGTCATTATCCAGTAAACAGACAAATTTGGCAACAATTTTTTAAAAAGGAATTCAAATTTTCCATTAGTAATCTCCCCCCAAAATATATACAAAACCATGACTTTGTGTAGGAAGTGTCAATTATTTATAACTCACGTGGTTTAGAGTTAACTTTCCGGCCTAAAACCAAATTTAAGCAACAGAACATAAAGTGGAGAATAAAATGGTGGAATATATTCCTACAAAGCTACAGTTGCTGAATAAAACATATATTCTGTCTATTGTTAGAGTACTTAATAAGCTACACAAATCTTGTATAATATACAATAACCATTAGGAAAATGTCCGTTTTTTTGTTATGCTGGTCACAGTGTCTTCTTAGTGAAATATAAATAAATAAAAACACACACAACCCATAATTCTTCATTCAAATAAACTGCAAAAAATATTTAACTACAAATGAGTGTTTCTCATTAAAATATATAAATAAATCAGCAGGTTTACAACATATTGGAAGTGACATTTCAGATATGTTGAATTAGTTCTGCTAAAAACAAAATACATGTATTAAAACAAAACACTATTTGACCTATTGAACTCAAACTCATGCATAAGTTATCTGCACCTGAAACTCTGAAGTTTGAAGTGGAAAAACAAAATTTCTAAATAAGAAACACTCATTTGAAATAATCTTAACAAAGATATAAAAAGCTGAAACTTTGTGTGTAGGAACGAAACATAAAAAGTCAATGTAACGGTTAACAAATACTTTTGTCTGCTGGGACAGAACCAAGCTGTGTCTGTTGATAACTCTGGGTATTACAGGATTTTCTTAACCAAGCTGTCTCTATCAGCTGGTCAGAAAACTTCACTATTGGCCATTTAACAACCTTTTGTGGATTATCTTCCACGATTTTTCGATTTCATTATTTTTGGATTCAAATACACCATGAAAACAAAACAAATTATTAAAAAAAAATAAATAACTCAAGTGATTACTTCAGATTTGACAAAAAAATTGAAATATTCTGAAAAAGGTAACAAACAGAGTAATATGGATGTAAAGGGACTGAGACACAGTGGCTCAAAAATCAACACACAAAAAGATAAACTTCCTCTGCATAGAAACCTGTGGCACTCTTCACAATCTATCAAGAACACAGAGTTACAATAAGACATTTGCGACATTTGATGATTTTGAAAACATTGTATTATACATATCACATTTAGGTTAATAAGTTTTTAACTGGCTAATCGTACTAAAAAGTCTAATTTTAATGATTGTTTTTTACTCTTTTTCACCTGTAAAAGTTACCTACATGAATTCATTCCTGATAAAATCTACATCTTAAATTAGCTTAATTTTCAATCAAATGCCTCTGTACAGCAAACAGGTAATACAATCTGATAAAACACAGATCTTTGCTAGACACTATAATATGAAGAAATAGGTATAGTGAAGTTCTATGTTTTAACAAGATGAACAAGTACCAATGTTTCTATGCAGGATGTTCCTTGTGATATTAATAGTTCTATATAAACGGTGAATTAGGATGGATGCGGAATATGTATATATGACCTCACACCAAACGACCTTGAAAGGTCACTCACCACTGCCCTTGGGGGAGTGGACAGCCTCTGCAACATTCATTGTCACGGTATGAAATGTTAGCTTTGTTAAGATAAGTTGGGGAGGAAGGATGTATAATTCATTTGTGGATCAATTCATTTGTATCCCCCTGATTGTTTAGATACTGAAAAGGCATATATCAGCAGATTATCTTCCCTTCCTGGATTATCTCCCTTATATATCACCAACCCTAAATAATGTCTAATCCTAGATTTATCTCCGCTGGATATGTCCCATGCTATATCATATCCTCTTGATATGACTAATCCTTGATTATCTCCCCTAGATATGAACAACCCCAGGTCACCTCTTCTATATGTGACCAAACCTAAATTATCTCCCTTAGATATGCCCAAACCTAGATTATCTCCCTTATATATGTCCAAACCTTGATCATGGCCTATAGATTTGTCCAACCCTTGATCATCTCCCCAAGATATGACCAAGATTATCCCTAAGATTATCTTCTGTAGATAGATCCCACTGTGATTATCTCCCCTATATAAGAAAAACTCTAAATTATCTCCCCTCGTTATGGCCAATCCTAGATAATCTTCCCCAGAAATGTTTTTATTTGCCAAGCGTGCTATTGTTACTTAATGGTGGCAGGTGGACTATTATTGTAATGAACTAAAACCAAATATAAGTTTCAAGGAATGTGAATTTTGATATCAGAATATGATTTGGCTCCAGGATAAGTGTAGAAAAAAAAAGAAAAATATAACTGCTTTAATCAATACAATACAGCATACAAAATGAAGTTGGACATATTGACGTGATAATGCTGTAAATAGCTTAAACATGTCAGGACTTAAATGTTCATTGATATGTAGTGTCTTCAAAATGGGGAGATTTCAAAATGCTAAATTATTCAATAAAGTTGTTCAACATATTGTTAAGTTCTGTTAAATGTTTGCTAAATCATTTAGTTTTATGTAGTTTTAATATGTCTTCAAAACATTCAAATTGGTTTAAAATCTCAGGGCATATTAGTGAAAAAGATTGATATGAATTCCAAATTGGCTTCAAATCTTTGGCAAATCATATACTCTTCCAATAGTTTTGCATGCTTGATTTATAAACCACACATGATGTAAGCAATTTACAGCCGAACTAACATTACAGAAATTTACAGCAGCTTTTAACACAATAGAAACAGGAAAACAGCAATGTCATCAGACTGGCCACATATTCTCACATTATAATGCCCTTCACCTAAATAAAAGTTGTTAAAATAAGGATAAAGTTTAAACAATGAACATGTGGGAAAAGAAATTGAAAGAAAACAAATTTTTGAAAAATTGGATTTTTTTCTTTTCCAAATTACAATAAAAACTTTTAGATACTTTTTCACTATACAAGGCTATACAAGATCAGTAAGGAGCTTTACTTCATTCTTCATAACTTTTCTGAACCATACTGTTATTTAGGAACAATTTTCTCCAAGCATTTTCTGTCTTAATTAGTAAGTCAGGAAAACAAAGATTTCCCAAGACTTTAAGATGAAGGTCAGAGTTTGAAACTTTACTATAATGGTAGGTGTCATCATTTAGTCAAAAAAAAATAAAAGAGAAACCAAAATGTGTTTTGTTTAAGATTTCATTTTGTGATAATTGGTGAGTTTTTTGTGATCTTACTTTAAGGCAAATGGTAATAAACAGATACAAGGAAGCCTTTAAAGTGATGTAGATAAAAGACTACAAATGACTAGAAAAGTAAAAAATGATAAAAAAAAATGTGCCATTTGACTACAATATATCAGTAATATTAACAGAGAAACCAACTGATGTTACCTTCCATTAAACCACTGGTCACGTCCGACTCTAAATCCGAGTGAGACTCGTCCTTGTTTAGGGAGCGACTTGGTGATGGCCTCTTGGTTTTCCTCTTTACACTCCAGCCTCGTGCTCGACTAGCCACCTTGGGTCCAGGAAGCTTCATTACAAAGGCCTTATCTACATACTTGGCACGAATCCAGTTTTCTCTCACAGTTCTGGAAGTGACAAAGAGGTACAAATATTTCTAACTCTTCTGATTTCATCAGGTCATATTGGCCATATCCTGACCTTCTCAAAAAACACAAGAATGTTTTGATCAGTATTTTAACACTTCAAATCAATTTTTGGATCTATTAAAAACATGACATTTAACATACAAAAATACAAACATATGTACTGAGTATACAATAGAACTGATTATAAGATCTTTTTACCAAACAACCCTTTAAAACACCCTGTAGCCCTTGATTTTGACCTTCACCAGATATCATTTGACAAGAGGTACTGAATTTCTCACCTAGGAATCATGATACTTAGGTGATACCTAAGTAGGTTTCCTGATCATAAATAGTTTGTTGCCATGTTTATCTCCCAGTGAAAAGAAAGGCTTATTTTGAGGTCTGTAGTAGCTGGTGAATACTTCACCAAAAGCATACAGGAGGCCTGTCACATGTCATCAAAATGAATTAGCGTAATTTGTCTACCCACGGACAATAGCTCAATGTCAAAGTCCACTATGGGTAGGGAACATTGGGCTTTATTCCATCAACTTAGCTTTTACAATATCAACGCTAAAATAAATTTTCGATATAAATATAATCAGAATGAACCCTTAGGATAGATACTGACCTTTTACAATCAGATGTAGCTTTGGTTGCTATGGACTCGTCTACACTGGCCTCATAGATACGGTTGACAACATCATTACCAAGTTCAACCATGACCTTGATTTGTTCCTGTTCCCAAGCATCCAGGGTTATTGACCGCACCTTTGATAGGTGGACTCCAAAACTCCTAAACAGGAAATTATAAATAAACAAGGGAGATAACTCTACTATGCTACACCATGAGGAAAACTATCACACCTTGACTAGTGAATACCTAAACATGGGAAAATAAATAAAAAAGGGAGATAACCCTACTATGCTACACCATGAGGAAAACTATCACACCATGAAAAGTGAATACCTAAACATGGGGAAATACATAAAAAAGGAAGATAACCCTACTATGCAAATTGACAAGGATTAGTAACACATATTTGACAGGTCTATGGAACAATAGAATAGACAAAGCAGAATAACCAGGCTATGTTACCAGAAAAATACAATTACTTCATCTACATTTTAATTGAAACACTACATCAGATATGGAGTAAAGAAGAAAACAGACTTGTCAGGTTTATGTTTAATATAACAGTTAGCCTTGGGCACTGCTTGTAAGTTTTTTATGTGACTAGTCTGTATGTGAAATGAAATCAAAATAGAGTAGACTTAGAAGTTTTGTTTAGACTTCAATAGAGTTTTACAGACCTGTGGATACCGGAACACTCTATACAGAGTGTGATGCCGAGGTTGATACTTGACCAACGCGGGTCAGCGGAGCCACAGTCACAGCAGTGGTCATTCCCCGGGATGGACAACAGCTGTTCCAATCTCCTGTAACATGACGTCAAATTTACCAACAGTAAGTCAGATTTACTGGCCTCTACTTATCATCACATTGACTGGCCTCTACTTATCATCACATTGACTGGCCTCTACATATCATCAGATTTACTGGCCTCTACTTATCATCAGATTTACTGGCCTCTACTTATCATCAGATTTACTGGCCTCTACTTATCATCAGATTAACTGGCCTCTACTTATCATCAGATTTACTGGCCTCTACTTATCATCAGATTGACTGGCCTCTACTTATCATCAGATTGACTGGCCTCTACTTATCATCAGATTAACTGGCCTCTACTTATCATCAGATTTACTGGCCTCTACTTATCATCAGATTTACTGGCCTCTACTTATCATCAGATTGACTGGCCTCTACTTATCATCAGATTGACTGGCCTCTACTTATCATCACATTTACTGGCCTCTACTTATCATCAGATTGACTGGCCTCTACTTATCATCATCAGATTGACTGGCCTCTCATCAGATTAACTGGCCTCTACTTATCATCAGATTGACTGGCCTCTACTTATCATTAGATTAACTGGCCTCTACTTATCATCAGATTTACTGGCCTCTACTTATCATCAGATTTACTGGCCTCTACTTATCATCAGATTTACTGGCCTCTACTTATCATCAGATTTACTGGCCTCTACTTATCATCAGATTGACTGGCCTCTACTTATCATCAGATTGACTGGCCTCTACTTATCATCAGATTGACTGGCCTCTACTTATCATCAGATTTACTGGCCTCTACATATCATCAGATTTACTGGCCTCTACTTATCATCAGATTGACTGGCCTCTACATATCATCAGATTAACTGGCCTCTACATATCATCAGATTGACTGGCCTCTACTTATCATCAGATTTACTGGACTCTACTTATCATCAGATTTACTGGCCTCTACTTATCATCAGATTTACTGGCCTCTACTTATCATCAGATTTACTGGCCTCTACTTATCATCAGATTGACTGGCCTCTACTTATCATCAGATTTACTGGCCTCTACTTATCATCAGATTGGCTGGCCTCTACTTATCATCAGATTTACTGATTTACTGGCCTCTACATATCATCAGATTTACTGGCCTCTACTTATCATCAGATTGGCTGGCCTCTACTTATCATCAGATTGGCTGGCCTCTACTTATCAGATTTACTGGCCTCTACTTATCATCAGATTGGCTGGCCTCTACTTATCATCAGATTTACTGGCCTCTACTTATCATCAGATTTACTGGCCTCTACATATCATCAGATTTACTGGCCTCTACTTATCATCAGATTGACTGGCCTCTACTTATCATCAGATTAACTGGCCTCTACTTATCATCAGATTGACTGGCCTCTACTTATCATCAGATTGACTGGCCTCTACTTATCATCACATTGGCTGGCCTCTACTTATCATCACATTGACTGGCCTCTACTTATCATCAGATTTACTGGCCTCTACTTATCATCAGATTTACTGGCCTCTACTTATCATTAGATTAACTGGCCTCTACTTATCATCAGATTAACTGGCCTCTACTTATCATTAGATTAACTGGCCTCTACTTATCATCAGATTAACTGGCCTCTACTTATCATCAGATTAACTGGCCTCTACTTATCATCAGATTAACTGGCCTCTACTTATCATCAGATTTACTGGCCTCTACTTATCATCAGATTAACTGGCCTCTACTTATCATCAGATTAACTGGCCTCTACTTATCATCAGATTTACTGACCTCTACTTATCATCAGATTAACTGGCCTCTACTTATCATCAGATTGGCTGGCCTCTACTTATCATCAGATTTACTGGCCTCTATCAGATTTACTGGCCTCTACTTATCATCAGATTTACTGACCTCTACTTATCATCAGATTAACTGGCCTCTACTTATCATCAGATTAACTGGCCTCTACTTATCATCAGATTTACTGGCCTCTACTTATCATCACATTGGCTGGCCTCTACTTATCATCAGATTGACTGGCCTCTATCTTTCATCATCATTTGACTGGCCTCTATCTTTACTGGCCTCTACTTATCATCAGATTGGCTGGCCTCTACTTATCATCAGATTGGCTGGCCTCTATCTTACTGGCCTCTATCATCACATTGGCTGGCCTCTATTATCATCAGATTTACTGGCCTCTACTTATCATCAGATTTACTGGATTTACTGGCCTCTACTTATCATCAGATTGGCTGGCCTCTACTTATCATCAGATTTACTGGCCTCTATCAGATTTACTGGCCTCTACTTATCATCACATTGGCTGGCCTCTACTTATCATCACATTGACTGGCCTCTACTTATCATCAGATTTACTGGCCTCTACTTATCATCAGATTGACTGGCCTCTATCAGATTTACTGGCCTCTACTTATCATCAGATTAACTGGCCTCTACTTATCATCAGATTAACTGGCCTCTACTTATCATCAGATTGACTGGCCTCTACTTATCATCAGATTGACTGGCCTCTACTTATCATCACATTGGCTGGCCTCTACTTATCATCACATTGGCTGGCCTCTACTTATCATCAGATTGGCTGGCCTCTACTTATCATCAGATTGGCTGGCCTCTACTTATCATCAGATTTACTGGCCTCTATCAGATTTACTGGCCTCTACTTATCATCACATTGGCTGGCCTTTACTTATCATCAGATTGACTGGCCTCTACTTATCAGATTGGCTGGCCTCTACTTATCATCAGATTGACTGGACTCTACTTATCATCAGATTTACTGGCCTCTACTTATCATCAGATTAACTGGCCTCTACATATCATCACATTGGCTGGCCTCTACTTATCATCAGATTTACTGGCCTCTACTTATCATCAGATTGACTGGCCTCTACTTATCATCACATTGGCTGGCCTCTACTTATCATCAGATTTACTGACCTCTACTTATCATCACATTGACTGGCCTCTACTTATCATCACATTGGCTGGCCTCTACTTATCATCAGATTGACTGGCCTCTATCAGATTTACTGGCCTCTACTTATCATCAGATTGGCTGGCCTCTACTTATCATCAGATTTACTGGCCTCTACTTATCATCAGATTGGCTGGCCTCTACTTATCATCAGATTTACTGGACTCTACTTATCATCAGATTTACTGGCCTCTACTTATCATCAGATTTACTGGCCTCTACTTATCATCAGATTTACTGGCCTCTACTTATCATCAGATTGGCTGGCCTCTACTTATCATCAGATTGACTGGCCTCTACTTATCATCAGATTGACTGGCCTCTACTTATCATCAGATTGGCTGGCCTCTACTTATCATCAGATTGACTGGCCTCTACTTATCATCAGATTGACTGGCCTCTACTTATCATCAGATTGACTGGCCTCTACTTATCATCAGATTTACTGGCCTCTACTTATCATCAGATTAACTGGCCTCTACATATCATCACATTGGCTGGCCTCTACTTATCATCAGATTTACTGGCCTCTACTTATCATCAGATTGGCTGGCCTCTACTTATCATCAGATTTACTGGCCTCTACTTATCATCACATTGGCTGGCCTCTACTTATCATCAGATTGGCTGGCCTCTACTTATCATCAGATTTACTGGCCTCTACTTATCATCAGATTTACTGGCCTCTACATATCATCAGATTGGCTGGCCTCTACTTATCATCACATTGGCTGGCCTCTACTTATCATCAGATTTACTGGCCTCTACTTATCATCAGATTTACTAACCTCTACTAATAAACTATTACATACACTTGAGCTTCAAGCAGTAATGATACAAATCCCAGATTTACTGATGGATGAAAGATGCTGTATTCTACCTTGGGTTAACAAAATCCCAGATTTACTGATGGATGAAAGATGCTGTATTCTACCATATGTTAACACAATCCCAGATTTACTGATGGATGAAAGATGCTGTATTCTACCTTGGGAAAACAAAATCCAAGATTTACGGATGGATAAAAGATGCTGTATTCTACCATAGGTTAACAAAATCCCAGATTTACTGATAGATGAAAGATGCTGTATTCTACCATAGGTTAACACAATCCCAGATTTACTGATGGATGAAAGATGCTGTATTCTACCATAGGTTAACAAAATCCCAGATTTACTAATGGATGAAAGATGCTGTATTCTACCCTGGGTTAACAAAATCCCAGATTTACTGATGGATGAAAGATGCTGTATTCTACCCTAACATCATCTCTTCAGCTTTAAATGAACCCTTACTGTTGAGCCTTGCTCTGTTTGGATGCTGGAGGAGTCGATGCTACAGTATCTTCATCTGTTGATGTATGTAATGTTCTGTTGGCTTCGGACTCCTCTTCCTGTTAAAGCAACAACACATGAAACATTGTAAATACAAATCATTGAATCAAACACAAATTTCAGGTGGTGCAGGTTTAACGCACTCGCCTTTCACCTAAGCCTCCTGGGTTTGATTTTCTGAATGGATGTGTAAAGGTTCACACACCTGACCACATGGATTTCGACATGATGCTCTGGTTTCCACCCACAGCAAGACCCCTTGCATACTTCCATCAGAGCAAACAAGAGTGGTTAATATAGATTTAAATAACTGGTTTGTCAATTTTTGTAAAACAAATAAAGTTTAATTTTCAAATGTAGATTTTAGTTCTTTTATGCATCTGATATATACAACTGAACCAATGTCTCATATGAATATTCAATAGTTTCTTTATGAAATCACTTCTTTATCACAAGGCAGAGCACCAAAGCTAACTGCACTTTAAGATTTTCTTAATTAATGATACAGTTTCTAACTTTTCTCCTGACTTGTAACCTATTCCCACAAAATGACTAGTACAGTTTCCATCCTGAGTGATGAGTTATTTCCCTTGATGGTTGGACCTGATTACTGAGTTTTCTCATAAATTAGTAAGTTACCTCCTTTGACAGGTAAATTATCTCTTCTTTTGATTGACTTTTCATCTTTATTGCTAAACTTCAGCTTGACGAAAGGTTCCTTCTTGATTGATAAGTTATTTACCCTGATTAAAAAAGTTCTCTAAAAAAAACAGTACATACGACTTGATTCTGTATGTTGGAGGCACATCGGAAGGCATTGCTTATTCCAGTCTGTATTTCTGTGATCCATATCTGACAATCCTCATCTGTTTCTGCTTGTAACATGTGACTTCTGTCAACATTAGAAATCTCACTAAATAAATAAAGTATTGGTAAACAAACAATATTTATATATAATTATACTTCAATACTTAATCCATTTACACATAATCTGAGGACTATTTCATCTGTTGGGTGACCTTCATTTAAAGCTTTGATTCCTCAAACAGAAATCTGATATTAAATATGAACCTGATAAAAGGACAATCTACTGGAAAATAGACTCTGACTTCATAAATTGTCTTTTAATGTCTGAAGGTAGGACAATACAAGGATATTTTCTGACAATGCAAACTGATCTAAGCTCCTTGGAGAGCCACTGAGATCTAACGAGGGACTGTACCTAGTTGGAGACAAGACATCAAAGCAGAAGCGACGCTCTGTTTCATACACAGGTTTGACAGTACACAGACGTAGATCTTCTTCCATTACGGAGCACTCCTTCACACCAGATCTTTTACGGTACACAAGCTGATTATTCTGTATCATAAACCATCGCCTACAACACACACAAGATCCATGTTGTACACTTACTAATGCCAATCAAACCTCACATGTCATTTTTTGTTAGACTTACCTCAGGACATCAGTGAAACTTAACTTAGAGTAACATTATGGAAATAACAAGAAAGGAAGTGTCGCCTGCTGGAAATGAGTTTTATGGAACAATAGCCATAGACATTCATTTTATTTATTCCATTGACATAATTTGTTTTGCTTCAAATATGGCAGGACCAGGGGCAACCTTCCTGCAAAGCAATATAAAAAAAGCCCCTTTAGTTAAGAAGTATTGTATGAAGTTTGAGTCTAATTGTCCAAAGAAAACTCAAGTAACCATATGAAACCAGTTTAAGGCTACATTGACCTTGACCTTTTGACCTGAAAAGCAATCTCAAGCATGTACCTTTGATAAGGTTATTGAATGAAACAAAATTTCTATTTATAAGTGACCTTGACCCTTAACCTTTGGACCTGAAAAGCAATCCAAAGCAAGCACGTTTGACAAGGAAGCATTGCACGAAGTTTGAGGTAGATTGGCCACAGAGTGCTGGAGTTATTGGGGGAAAAAAATCCTTTTTATAGTAACGGTGACCTTGATCTTTTCCCTTTGGATCTTAAACGCAGTCCAAAGCAACCTCTTTTGGTAAGAAAGCACTGTACGAGGTTTCAGGCTGATCAGCCAAAGAGAACTGAAGTTATTGCAGAGATCTAAAAATCTATTTATAATAACAGTGACCTTGACCTTTGACCTTCGAACCTGAAAAGCAATCCCAAGCAAGCACTTTTAGTACGGAAGCACTGAATGAAGTTTGAGCCAAAGTGAACTCATGCTATTATGAAAAAACATTTTTGCAGACAATGACGATGATGATACCACCAACATAGTAACATATATACCTAGATGTTCTTTGGCAGGCAACACAAAAATTAGCCTTTATCTAACGACTGTTTTAAATGTTCATGTTACTAGTATACTATCAGCATCGGTCCTGCTGAATACATGGTTGACATACCAAACAAATCTAAAGTAGGCAGACTCCAAGTAAAACAGATACAGTTGCCCTACATATAAAAGTTCTTGTGACTAGTAGTCTATGATATAGGGCCAAGACAATCTATTTCTTTGATGTAGGTCAAAGGTCAAAATGTAGATAAAAATGGAACAGAAGAAGTTCTTATATCACAACCAATTTTAATAATTTCTATTTTATTGGAATTACCAAACTGAAATAAATGTCCTGAAATAGTTAGTAAAAGTGACCTACATGTGGTTGATTACTGACATTCCCATCCCTTAAGATCCATAACAACAGATTCTGCTTTAGACTGCACATGTTTTAGCCACAATATTACTAAAATGACCTTGAGTTGAAGGGAAAAATCAGCCTTAATTTTAACCCCAGATGCCCTGAAATTGACCCCAGGGTTGACATAAGATGACCAACCTGACCCAGCTCTTGAATCCTTTACTTGTTTTCTTGAAGAGGTAGCCCTCCATATGTTGAACACTGGTATCATTATCCAAATCATTCTGAGACAGATTGACATTCTGAAAATACAGAAAAAAAGCAAACATTTGAATGGGAATAATCTCCCTTCTACAACTGTATAGTGTAACAAGGCTTTCAGTTCAGAATGTAATTATGCATGTAAATAAGTTTTTAAGTTTACTGCCATTCGTTAACTTCAAATAACGCACCTGCGTGCGTGATCAGCTGAGATTTAACCAGAGGCGGACATATTTGACAATAGCGGGTGCATGTTTTCTTACAAGAACGCAAAAGACTGCTTGCGGTGAGTTTCTACTCATATATAAGATATTTTATGTTGTACCGTTCTTTATTGTAACCGTAACTAAGCTGCACACACTGTAAATATCAAATTGTGCATTGTAATGCGTCCTATATGAGGCGTACAGGTGTGACATTGTTTACGTTCAGGTGTGCTACTGTTTACAACTGTTGATAAATAGTTATTTTATCACCAATTGATTATAATAAGTAATCTGGATTTAGTACATCGTAGATTATGGAATTTAGAGCATTCGTTTGTGAAATTCACGTGTATATATATTTCATCCCGCTGGAAGGTTTAAATATATATTAAGGTTGCTTGACCGCTGTTTTTGTGGAAATATTTTCAAAGTTTAATTTCAATTATTATTACATTCTTGGGTTGAAACAGTGTCTTCTTAATATTATTCATAAGGAAATGTGCTAAATTTAGGCATTTTAAGTGATTTGGGTACAATTTTGTCTGTTGTAGTTTGAACCTAGCACATACCCACCCGTTCGTAAATTCCCCTCTAATCACTACTTTGGTGGTTATGCTCATGAACCCCACTGTTGGGAGCTGCATTGTTCTTTGTGGATGTAGTTTCACTGCTATTGGTGGATCGTGAAACTGATGACGTCATTATGTGACATTGTAACTTTTCCTTTGTGGAAGTGTCTATGCTTTGGATCCTCTGTGGATGAACTGAAACTCATGAGTGTGTGGACCTGTGTGGATACATAGGTGGACTGTACCTGTGGGACTATCGGAACTAAGACAGAGTCGGGAAGGTCCAAACGAACTGTTGTAGATATAGTGTATAGTCTAGTGTAGATACTTGTAAAACTTGTGGTATTATGCGCATAATGTAAATAGATATTGTACAAAGTGTATATCGGTGTTCATCTCTTTTCTTGTTTGTATGGCAATATACTCGTCCCGTTACATATAGAATGGTATGTTTTGACTTCAATGACTTCACTGACATCTAGAAGAATACTGCTTCATGTTCAACCAACAAATATGGTAAAATAAACTGACCTGATACATAAGTTTTGATTTTATATCAGATTATAAATGTTGAGTTTCATAAATTGCATATGAAAAGGAATAAATCAAATATACCCTTAACAATATTTTATACAATTAGCAGATAAGGACATTTGTCTACTAATTGATGTCCTCTCTGCTAGCAATTCTATCCTGTCTCCATTGTTATGTCTAATGGAAAGTGTGTGGCATTTCATTGTCTATTCTTCATGTCACCATAGGTTAAAGGTCATAGCACAACTAAATACAAATTTACAGATATAAAATAAAGTATTAAATTAAATCAAGAAATTACACTTGGTGCTAATGGTACATCAGTATAGAGTTGTTTAACTTGTGTGGTAGTCTAGACACTCGTTAGGGACAAACTTTCACAACTTTGTGTGTGAGGTAGGAGGCAGTTGTGTTTAAGGCTGCACCTGTTGTAGATAGGAAAACAAGAGCTCTAAAAGTAATTACTTGAGCCATCTTATCTCTTAGCCAGACTTGTTTCAGCTGTTTACCAGCATGTCCTCGCCCACTGGTTTTACTCTAGACAACATACTTCAGTGTTTCTAACGTATTGTGATGTAAGACAAGAGACGATGGAAAGTAATAAACAAATATTCATCTTTTCTTACAATACTGATCCCTGTTTTATTGGGCTATAAAGGTGTATTATCCATGGTACCTAGTTCCTTGGTTTTATCATACCATTTTCATGGAGGTCATGAAAAGGACAATCCTTTTCTCCATAACTTGTATTTTGCCAAGTTCAATTTCTTTTTTTTTTTTCTGAGAAATTATAAATTGCATTATCAGGAAACTGTCCAAGGGCACTATAGCTCCATCAGTATCCATCAGTATAGTTATCAGATTTCTCAGGTGAAGATCGAAGTATGTGGTTCAAAGTACTGCAGGCAGTTAGTGTATTGTTCAGGAAACTGAGATACGGACAGTGACCTTTGCTGTCCTAGGACAAAGCCTTAATCCTTTGTTTTTCTTCTATTTTGCTATGAGCCTTTCACATGTTGAATGGAAAGGTCACTACAAACTACAACAACAGGACCCTTGCTCAATCAGAAATCTGTATAGACAGACATTCAATGACGTCCTGTGTATATTTCTATGTAATCTGTATAGACAGACATTCAATGACGTCCTGTGTATATTTCTATGTAATCTGTATAGACAGACATTCAATGACGTCCTGTGTATATTTCTATGTAATCAGTACAAACCAGACATTCAATGACGTCCTGTGTATATTTCTAGGCTGTCGGTGTGAACCAGGCTTGCATTGTGTATATTTTTATGGAAACCGTAGGTGTAAAATCAGAAAACCGGACTGATGTCTCAAGTTACGTAATAAAATGCTAAAATTTATAAAAATGAAATAAAAATAAAAAAAAGAAAACATTGCTGAATGGTAACCATATATCAAATCTTTTTACAGGTAAGGATATATCTAAAGTTTGTTTAACATCATTAAGTCAGATTACAATACATATTTAAATGTATAAAAGTACCAGCTCTGAAGGTATAATGCATGAGAAATAAAGTAAAATTCAAGTTATGAGTGAATCCTACTAATTGATAACATATGATCTTATTGAACACACTTGTCTTACAATGACAATTGTGGACAGATATACATTGTATTAGTATTTTGTTTTGTAGGACTTGACTCACAACAGGATTAGATCTCATTAAAGATTTTGAGTGATGTCTTTTATCCAAGGTGATGTTATACATTTTAAACACAAAAATGGCTAAGTGGAAGGCAAGTGCGTTACAACTGTTCCACCCGACCACCCTATTTTGAATGATGATATATTTATTAACCAAAGTGATGTTACACATTTTAAACACAAGAAGAACCTGTATAAGTTAGAAAATGACAAATAATTAACAATTATAAATTATGATTTACTCATAGAAATAGTGATAAGAAATAAACAATAACATCCAAGGTCACTACCTGGTAGTCAGTTTGTTATAAACATATACAAATAAAAGTGGGCTCCAAGGGGAAACTGCACACAAAAGTGGGTGAAAAATTTGAGAAAGAGAGGTAACAAGTGTCATTTAAGATGGACATGGCTAATACGTAATTTGTAGTTTATCATCTACATTTTTTTCAATATTAACAACTTGGTTTTACTTCCTTGGTACAATAGATCTAGGATGATGGATTTTTCAGACAACAGGAGGGAAACATACTTAGAGTATAAATGGATCAGTGGTGTTACAATATCCATATCTGATGTGGATACACGTCATAAAGTAACATCCCTACCGCAGCATGTGGTAGCCTTATAACAGTCCTTATAATGCGGTTAGTTGAGTAATACATTTCCTGACTATTGGGTTAATGGAACTGTTATTTGTAAGATGATGGTGGGCTGAAATTGGATCTGTTTGTACTGTTCATGATCTCCTTAAGTCAATCTAGTATCACTAAAGTGCACTTCACAACCTTACAGAAGATTGTCCCCTACACAACCTGACAGAAGACACTCCCCTACACAACCTTACAGAACACTGTCCCCTACACAACCTTACAGGAGGTTGTCCCCTACACAACCTTACAGAAGACATTCCCTACACAACCTTACAGAAGACTGTCCCCTACACAACCTGACAGAAGACACTCCCCTACACAACCTTACAGGAGATTGTCCCCCACACAACCTTACAGAAGACATTCCCTACACAACCTTACAGAAGACTGTCCCCTACACAACCTGACAGAAGACACTCCCCTACACAACCTTACAGGAGATTGTCCCCTACACAACCTTAAAGAAAACTGTCCCCTACACAACCTTATAGAAGACTGTCCCCTACACAACCTGAAAGAAGACTGTCCCCTACACAACCTTACAGAAGACTGTCCCCTACAAAACCTTACAGGAGGCTGTCCCCTACACAACCTTACAGGAGGCTGTCCCCTACACAACCTTACAGAACACTGTCCCCTACACAACCTTACAGAAGACATTCCCTACACAACCTTACAGGAGACTGTCCCCTACACAACCTTACAGAAGACTGTCCCCTACACAACCTTACAGAAGACACTCCCCTACTCAACCTTACAGGAGATTGTCCCCTACACAACCTTACAGAAAACTGTCCCCTACACAACCTTACAGAAGTCTGTCCCCTACACAACCTGACAGAAGACTGTCCCCTACACAACCTTACAGAACACTGTCCCCTACACAACCTTACAGGAGGTTGTCCCCTACACAACCTTACAGAAGACTGTCCCCTACACAACCTTACAGAAGACTGTCCCCTACACAACCTTACAGGACACTGTCCCCTACACAACCTTACAGAAAACTGTCCCCTACACAACCTTACAGAAGACTGTCCCCTACACAACCTTACAGAAGACTGTCCCCTACACAACCTTACAGGAGGTTGTCCCCTACACAACCTTACAGGAGGCTGTCCCCTACACAACCTTACAGGAGATTGTCCCCTACACAACCTTACAGAAGACTCTCCCCCACCTAACCATACAGAAGACTCTCCCCCACCTAACCCTACAGAAGACTCTCCCCCACCTAACCTTACAGAAGACTCTCACCCACCTAACCATGCACCTACATCACCTGACCCTAAAGTTCACCACACACATTTCTTAATCTTAAAAGTGTGGATGAAAGTCAAGGGAGATAACCTTTGCTATTAATTTACTTTAGGGTTAATACTTTGCCCTTAGGATATGTAGAG